CCCCAAAAAAAAAACGCTCTCTATACAAGAGACAAGCCGCTACAGTAACGGGCGGTGATATAATGGCCAAAGCTTCGCCGTCCGGCGGTGGAAAACCACCGGACCTATCCCAAAAGATGTGTCTTGATAAGGCGAACACACCCCAACAAGCTTCAGTCCAAGATTCAAAACGAGCTGCTCCACATCTCAAAAATGGATCCGCGTTTACTGTAGCAAGCAATCAACTGGGCAGTTCTGAGATTTCCCATCTGGTTTCTGTGTTACACCCAAACAACAGTAACCAAAACAATACCAAACATGAATCATATGCTGGTCGTTTGAATCACACACAAAACACAACAAATCTAACAAAGACAATTCTCAAGAAAACTGAAGTTGTTCATGGGATCCCAACTCTGCAGTTTACAATGGAAGAAAGGGAAGAATTTGCTAAGGAAGAAGGATTACATCAAGCTATTGTGATAAAACATCTCTAATGGTGCACCAAATCTGGAAATCCTGAGAACGTTACTGCCCAAGTTCCTTTGGTGTGAAAGGTAACAGTTTACTAGGATTACTCGCACAAAGACAATTTTTGTTGCGTCTTGATCAATATGAAGATTTTGTCGTTACACTAGCACGTAGTGTGAATTATTTCTCATACAATGGCAAGGAGCATCAAGTTAGAATTTTTCCATGGAGTATTGGTTTCAATCCTAATGAGGAAACATCAATGGCGGCAGTTTGGATTTCCTTACCAAGCCTGTCACCAGAATTGTTTGCTCGTCGTTCGTTACTGTCCATAGTTGCTGCTGTGGGGAGGCCAATCGCAGTGGATAAGGCGATGCAGGTGAGGTCGAGACCTAGTACGGCTAGAGTAAGGGTGATTGTGGACTTGTTGGACAAGCTTCCAAATAAAATTATAATTTAAAGTATCGACAACAACACTAGGAAAATTGTTGATGTTTTGCAGGAGGGGGTGTATGATAATTTGCCGTTATATTGTTCTCATTGTAAGCACCAAGGCCACGATGAGAGTTCATGTCGACATCTCATTGCCAAATCTCATGAGAATGAGCAAGTTGATGCAGGTGTTGGTGATAAATATAATGGTGATTTGAGGTTGCTGCTGAACGAAATGAGAGGTCTGACAGAAGAGGAAAAAACAGTTGGAGCTCAAGTTGACACTACTGGAAATGAGGCAGTCACAATTGTGGATGCTCATGTCTTAAACGTGCCACATGAAAGTCATGTACATGAAGGAAGTTTGGCGCAATACAAAGAAGCAACATATTTCATGGGTGTGGATATGCAGACCCAAAAATCTGGAGAAAAAGAATTGCAGATGAGATTGAAAGCTGCCCAAGGTCTAGTGGTTCAACAAATCACTGGGGGATCTGGTATTCAAATTGATGATGATCGCGGAATGTTTCATGATCAACCAACTGTTGAAAATGCAGGTTCTAAATATACAATACTGAAACAGAGTCCTCTGTTTTCTGAGGGGGAAAAGGTGACTGTTATTGAGCGAGGAGTATCAAGTAACACTAAAGCTGTTGTGGCGTTGAATGCACCTGTAAATTTTGGTGATCGGGTAAATGAGCAATCAGCTGTTGAGGCTTCGCAGGTATTACAGGGGAAAAAACATGTTGCACGAGTTGCTACAAATAATACTGCATTATTTGATCCAGTTGAAAAAACTCAGCAGCCTTTGTAGATACTGGTATGCAACCTGGGCAGGCTACACAAAAGTCAGATTTTCAAACAATACAAAGATCAAATGGTAGGGACTGGGCATCAGCAAACAGGCAGAATACTCCTAAAAAAATCACTCCCGTTAATAAACCTACTGTTGCACTTACAATTGAAAAAACATTAAGAGTTCAAGCAGGGGAGGAAAAATCTGGGCAGCTTATTGGGGTTACTGGGGTTTTTGATTGTCAAGATGATACTGCTACTGCTTTAAAGTCTGATGCTGATCGACATGTTAATTCACACCAGATTGATAATGTTCAACAAGTCGATGGGGCATCTGGGATTCAAATTGGTAATGAACGAGGGATTTCGCACGATCAACCAGCTGCTGCACATGCTGATTTAATTGAAAAATCATTAGGTCCAATAACTCAAGTATTGGATCAATCAAAAACAAGAGATTGGGCAGTGATAAATCGTACACAGTCCTCACCTAGCAAAAGCAATGTTTCAATTCACAAAACTCAGACTAGTGCAGCAAAAACTGTTACTGTTTCTAACTCGTTTGAGGCTTTGATGAATGAACAACATCTGGAAGATGTTGAACAAACAAGCTCTACAGGTCTTGGAAAGCAGCAGAAAAATTCAACTGACAGAGGTGCTCGACCAGATAGTATAACTACTGAAAATCACATTGCTCCAAAACTGCAATTCTATGGTCCGGAATTAGATAAAATGGTCAAGGAATGGCAGACAGCAGTAATAAGGCATAACAATCCCCTCAATACACAGGAGCATGTAATATTAGAAAGGAAGGAGGAAAAGGCTGGGCAGGTGCTTGTAAATTCAGGTAGAACTAGTGTTAAGGCAAAGGAACAAGCTGGGCAGTCGCAAGTTCTGCCTGGGTTTATGCATAATCCAACGAAAGAGCTGTCTCTTCAAGATGATAATGGCATGGAAAGGGTTGGTTTGAATACATCACAACATGATATCCCTTCCAATGATTTGTTCGATCGATCTGGAAACATGTTACAAGTTTCAGACAACCAACAAACTTTATCCATGATGTCGTCGGCAACAAAAAAAGGAGGGGCTGACCACAATGGAGAAGCACATGAAGACACGATGAGTGAAGACGAGGTAAGTGATGAACCTGTCCAAATTTTAAACGAGCTACAGGAGGTAGTTAGCTCTAAGCATAAGTTATGGGTTGACCAAGCAGAAGGGTATGAAGAAGGTGAAGAAGATTATGGTGTTGATTCTCAGGAACAAAACACTCAAGAAATATGTTCGTTAACACGACGAGGTGACAACGCACAAGAAGGAGCAGTTACTGTGTTTGAGCAGGTTGCTAGTACTCCGCCAAGAATGCAAATCAAAACAAAACTAAGTCCTAATGCTGCTGTTTTTGTTCCTACTGGACAACAACTATCAGGTACGATTTCCAATCTTAAATTGATCCATAAAACTGGACAGGTAGCTAGTACGAGTGGAGCGGCTGCATAATATAGCTTGACTCCGACAAACATCTTCCGAGCTCTGGTAACTCATGACATGGATACTTTAAAGGCTCTTGACAATCCGAGGATCGAAAGAGGAGCCCTAGTACCCGCACACAATCCTATTGACGCTTTCGGGGTGGAAATGGGTCGAGATTGGTATGAAGAAGGGGAAGAGGAAGAACTACTAGATGCTTGCTTTAAAAATGTAGCCAGCGAGGGAAACCTATCACCCCGTCAAATGAGAAGTGGATCAAACAAAAATAAAAAGAAGGCACATGAAAGGCAACATAGCTGGGATGGAAAAGCAACACAAGAGGTTGTCATTAGGAAACTACCAATGAGAACTGCAAAGCAAAAGGCGAGTGTCCCTACCACCTCCACAAGGTCAAATAAATCAAAAAAGAAATGAAAAAGTTTGAAGAATATTTGAAGACAGTGGAAGAAGAAGCCAATGAGCTACAAATTGAAGAGTGCACAAGGTTGAAGAAAGAGGGCCAAGACACAAATTTCTACATTGCTTTATTTTATCACTTTTTAAGTATCATCATTTGTAATATCATCACAGAGTATGTTTTAAACTTTGTGATGATCATAGAGTACTTAGTTATTTCTAGCTCATATATTCTTCATGCTTGCCAGTAGATGAGATTTTTTATGCCTCAATAGGATTTGTAAGGTAAGTTCTAGCACGGTATGTGTGTGCTATATTCCTATTCTTTTGGGAAGATCCAAGCGGCTATGAGATTATATGCCCTCGTGAGACTTCTGTCGGCAGCTACACCATGATCCTCTACATGAGGCTGCCATCTTAAGGCAATGGAGGCGCAGAAGAGTGATTATATAGCCAAGGCATAGAAGCACCATTGTTGTAGCTAGCCCCCTTACTTGTACTTTTCCATTGTGGTTTCTTTTTTCATTTGTTATTAATAAAATAGCTGCTAGGCATGCCTAGTAGTATAATTTGCCCAAAAAAATAAATAGTGGCCTTTTAATGCCATTTCCAGCAAATTCTAATTACGATACAAATAATTACGTAGTAAAAATAATACAATTATAAGTACATTACACATATGACTAATACAACTACAACAATATTATTTACATGTATAAGTTATTTACATTTTCTTACATATTGCATGAAAAACAATTGACCCGTGTAAGAAAAGAACATACTTAGTTGCTTCTCTTTCCTTTATTCCTAATATTTATCCATGTACATGAAAAAATTGAGGTCCCGATGTATTAGATTTTTAAAAATTTTTTTTTATTTTTTATTTTTCAAAGAAAGATGGGAATTGAGGGTCAAGTAATAAAAGTTATTTTAGGGTGCTTGTAAACGTTTTCTTAAAGAGAATTAAAGTAACGTAAAGGAAAATCAAAAAGCGTTAAAAGATTAATGAGACTTGGACACTAATTACTTAGATATTGCTCTTTGTTTGTGAAATTTATGAAATTTCGAAAATACATATATTTTTAAGAACTACATAAGAAGTATTATTAAGTGCAATAAAAATTACAAGATGTTTATTCATTAGATACTACGAATAGGAAAACATAAAAATCAAACTACTCAATCATCTTTAACCACAGATCCATCACCGATCGAGTGGTTTATTTTTTTATTAGGATGCTCAAAAAAATCTGCCAGATCCAAGTGGGTGATGTCAAATTCATTGTCATAGACAAAATTAGTTTAAGGGCCTTTAGTCTTTAGAGATGCTTGATAAAGCTCAACCAAATATTTTGGTATGCGACAAATACTTGCCCAATGCCCTTTTCCACTACAACGATAACATTCAGTTTTTGAACCATTTTCCTTTAGTCCTTTCCACTTTGGTGTTTATTTTTCTTTGGGGGGTGATTAATACCAGGAAAATTTCTTCCTTGGCCACGACCATGACTACGAACAGGTCCACGACCTTTTCCACGCTTAGAATAATGGGAATACACCTCATTCACTTCAGGCAATGGTGTAGACCAATGGGTCGATTTCGTGATTTCTCATGAGCAAGTCATTATTTCGTTCAGCCACAAAGAGAAGAGAAATCAACTCAGAATACTTCTTGAAACCTTTCTCTCAGTACTGCTGTTGCAAGACCATATTGGAGGCATGAAACGTTGTGAACGTTTTTTCAAGCATATCATAGTCAGTGATAGTATCTCCATAGAGTTTCAATTTAGAAGTAATTCTGAACATCACAGAATTATATTCAGAAATACACTTAAAGTCTTGGAGTCTCAGATGAGCCCAATCATATTGTGCTTGTGGAAGAGTGACCAACTTTAAGTTGTCATATCTTTCCTTTAAGTCATTCCAAAAAACAAGTGGATCTTTTACTGTGAGATATTCTAGCTTCAACCATTCATCAAGGTGATGGCGCAAGAAAATCAAGACCTTAGCACAGTCTTGGGTAGATGCTTTATTTTTGTCTTTAATGGCGTCTCAAAGACCCATTGGATCTAAATGGATTTCAGCATCCAACACCCATGTCATATAGTTCTTGCCCGAAATTTCAAGGGTAACGAACTTTCTTTTCACAATATCAGTCATAATTAAAAGAGGAGAAAAGTTATACCTTAGTCTTCTCAAAGAGCTTCTTGAGATGGTAGAGTCTCATGCTGATAACGTGTTATAAAATATAACTCAAAGTAACAATATGGAATAAGGAAAAACAAGCTAAGAGATATATGGAGAAAGAGAGAAGAGATTCTTATTTCTTCTTCAATTGTGTGTATTTTCCTATTTATTACAAGGCTTTTATATAGGTATGAAAAGTGAAGAAAATATGTCATTGAATATGTCATTAAACATAGAAAATATGTCATTGAATATGTTATTAAGTATTTGAGACGAAGATCATGATGGAAGAGTAGACATCCACCATAATTTGATATTTCTTATAACAAGAATCTAATTTTGTTACTATGAATACTTTATTATTGATTCAACAAAGTGACGTTAGACATTACGTTCTAAAATTAATTTTTCTTTGTTACTCACTTGATTTTTTATTCATTCAACAAAGTGATGTTAATCAATATTTATTCTTGACATCTGATAAAATGGGTTCTAATTTATTTCAGATGAAAAGGACTAAGGTTGAAGATTTGGAGGCCACCTTAAAAAATACTACTCCAGCTACACCAACATCTGTGGCAACTCTAACACATGGTAACACTCCTGATACTTCTATTATGCGCAATCCCCCTAAAAAGCAAAAAAGAACAACTCTGTGTGGTCGAGACCCTGGGGAAAATGGTCGGGGAAAATATGAAATTTGGCCACACTTCACAAAGTTTACTGATAAAAAGGGTGACACGAGGGGCAAAATGCAATTACTGTCCTAAAGACTTTGCTTATCTTAGTAGGAATGAGACTTCTAAAGTTTGGGCATATTTAACTAACAAGTGTGATAATCCCCTTTCAAGGTAATTGATAGGAAGCAACCAACACTCAAACTTATACCCATTAAAGGAGAGGAACAAGTAAGTTTAGAAAGGGTTGCTGAGGTTAGGAGGGCAATTGACGAGTTTGTTATAATTGATGAACGACCATTTAAAGTTGTCGAGGGGAAGGCTTTAAGAGATTAATGTCGGTTATTTTGCCTAATTATGAGTTACCTTCTCGCATTACTGTTGCTAGGCAATGTTTAAAAATTTATCAAGAGGAGAAACATAAGCTTAAAAGACTTATTAGAGATCAACGTGTATGTCTTACTAGTGATACACAAACATCAATTCAAAATTTTGACTTATATGGTCATTACTGCCCATTGGATTGATGATGAATGGAATTAGCAAAAAACAAATTCTTAAGTTTTTTCAAACTCCAGATCATAAGGGTGAGACAATTGCTAAGGGTATTGAGGCTTGTTTATTATATTGGGGGATTGAAAAACCATTCACATTGACGCTAGATAATGCGACAGCTAATGATGCTGCAATCAAATACTTGAAAGGGAGAATTAATGATTGGAAATGTGTCATCTTGGAAAATGAATTTTTACATGTTAGGTATAATGCACATATCTTAAATTTAATTGTAAAAGAAGGATTAAATGAGCAACATGAGTCTATTTCTCGTGTGAGGATGGCTGTGAAATATGTGAAGTCTTTTCCTGCAATATCTGCTTCCTTCAAGTCACATGTTGAGAAGGTCAAACTAGGCACTCATGGTCTTTTGAGTTTAGATGTTGAGACATGTTGAAACTCTACATATTTGATGTTAAATACTACAGTAAAATTTGAAAAAGCCTTTTCATGAATGTATGTTGATGATCATTGTCTAAAATTGAGTGAAACGACAGGGCATCCATCTTCAGAAGATTGGCAGAATATTAAAGTCTTTCTCAAGTTTCTTGAAACATTTTACCATGAGTGATCTGCTTCCTTCAAGTCACATGTTGATAAGGTCAAACTAGACACTCATGGTCTTTTGAGTTTAGATGTCGAGACATGGTGGAACTCTACATATTTGATGTTAGATACTGCAGTAAAATTTGAAAAAGCCTTTTCATGAATGTATGTTGATGATCATTGTCTAGAATTGAGTGAAACGGCAGGGCATCCATCTTCAGAAGATTGGCAGAATGTGAAAGTCTTTCTCAAGTTTCTTGAAATATTTTACCAAACCATTTTGAAATTTTCTGAAACTTCACATATTACCTCTAATTCTTTCTTTCATGAGCTTTTTAATCTTCAAAGCTTAATTGTCCAATATTCTGATGGTGTTGATTCTAGCTTGACTAATATGGCTAAGAAGATGAAACTTAAGTTTGATAAATATTGGGCTGATTTTGAGGATATGAATATGTTGTTATTTGTTGTTGTTGTGTTGGATCCTCGGTACAAAATGAAGTATGTGAAGTTCCTTTTTAGCAAATTTTATAGTCCTTTGGAGGGACACGGAAAGTCTACCAAAGTGATGGATACTTTATCTCGCATGTATAATCACTATAAGGATTCTATATCTGGGACTTCTAATGAAAATATTGGAGATCAAACTAGTGTGAGTCAAACTGATGCAATGCATAGTTGTGATGTGTGGCAATCTCAATGGGAGAAATTTCTTGAAGATGAGAATAATATTGGTAATACGACTAAGCTTGAGAAGTATTTGATGGATGATATGGAGAAGAATAAGGATTTAAATATCTTAGCTTGGTGGAAAGTTTCATATGAAAGATATCCAACTGTCTCTAAGATTGCAAGAAATGTGCTTGCTATTCCTACATTTACTGTTGCCTTGGAATCAACTTTTAGCACCGGTGGTCGGATTCTTGATTGTTATTGAGGTTCTTTATCAACAAAGACAGCTAAAGCTCTTATTTGTTGTCAACAATGGTTGCGGTCATCATCTAAAGAATGCAAGCTTGAATATCTTTTAGAAGAAATTCAAAAACTTGAAATTGTTGAAAATGGTAACTTTATACAATTAACTTTATGATTACTTTTATGTTTTTGAAGAGTAATGCCTAATATGATAATTCTTTCTTCAGAATATCCGGACACTGCTTTGAGCATTGACTAGGTTGTAGCTTAAGCTAAGGACAATGATGGAAGCAGCTGCGAAAGTGATCTTTATGAAGAAAAAAAATAGAAGTGAATACGATATTATCGATTCTCTTATTCTTTTTTTAGTTTAAATACATAATTTTTACTTTCACATGGACAAAGTTGTTTATACTTTGGAACCTTTGTTTTGGCTTATTTTTTTTTGATTCTATCATGTGTTCCAACTTAGTTCACCCGGTACAGTTTTCTATCTTATATTATTGCTACAATTTTAATACTCGGCTTTATATCTTTATGCTACATTTTCAAATACAAATAGTTAAAAGAACTATCTTTGTAGATATTTGGAATTATGCTCTAGTAGTACTTAAAATATTGTTATATCTTTCAATCTTCTAATAGCAGAACTTTTAATATGTAGATCTTATATATTACCATGTTTCGTAGTTGGCTA